ACTAGAAATAAATAATAACTGATTACATTTGGTGAATAAAACACATGCAGAATGAATGATTTATATCAATGCCATTAATTCTTCCCATAAAATACGAATCTGACTTTTGCGTAGGAGTTCAAGTAGAAAGAAGTCAGAAATATTCTTATCGACATCATTTAATGCAAATTCTAGAGCAGTCTCAACATCTTGAATATCGACAAATTCTTCCCGTTGATTTGTATTCATCTATAAGATGGCCTGGATTACTTATTTTCCAAGCAGCCTAACTGTATTTTAAATAATTTACCTCACATTATGTGTATCGTTTTTCTCTTTTCAGCTAAATTTATTGATAAATCATAATTTGTCATGGAAAAAACACATTGATCAAAATTTTGAAGTAATATTTCATGGAATTTCCCACCGACTGATATCGTTCAGTTTATCAGAAACCGATGATTACATCGAATTCGTTTTGCGAAAAGTTAGAAGAATTATACCGAAGTCGAGCATTCTCAAATAGTTTTTAGCTAGTTCTCGAAGATCAATCTAAATTTACAGTATTCTCTATGCATATAATAACATCTGTATATTAACAGAACGATCACTGGACATCTTAATGCAGGGTTGAATTTCAGGTTTGCTGTAACGAATTATGAGATACAGAATGATACTCTCGTAGGTCCGGCAAACTGGACCACATTTGCATGGGTTTTACAGCGGAGTAGATTTATCAGTTGCAGGAAAGATTTCGCAATTCTCTATCGTAAAACTTATCCTCAGTACTTCAGTGGGAAACGTCGAATTCGAAATGAAGTCATACTGACACTTCAGAAATTCCGCAATTGGGCTATTGAGCGTGGCATGACACCAATACTCTATGCTGGCACACTGCTTGGTATTATTGTTTCTTCTAGTACAAATTTATACTTTCATAAATAGCAAAACACAAATGACTGTTTATTCCAACTGAGAGATGGGTCATCTCTTACGATAGTTCATTTCCGTCTGCGTACATCTAGAAACTACTGGAGCTATTCACTGGCGCTAAATGTTTCTTGTGTTCATGATCCGTACGATCTAAGTAAAAATTGTGTGCAGAGAATTTTTCCTCATGTAGTCTTAATATCACCCTTCCTTTCGACAACCTTTCCGTCCACAAAGCTTTTTAAGTGTTACCTTGGATTTTAGTTTATCCATAGGAGATTCGGCTTTGTAAAGCCTACTGTAGTTGAAGGAAACTACTCGCAAGGAAACATTCTCGAAAATTTATATGAGCAATCTCATTCACTACAACATTATTCCGTTAATTTCACAAAAAAATTTTTATTCATATAAATTTAGGTTGGTATCGAGAATGCGGTATTATACCATATACACACGATATCGACTTTACGGTCTTCATCGAGCAATACTATAACAAATTTCCTGAAGATGTTATGAATAGTTCGTTTATCAAACTTAGTATGCGATTCAACAGAGTGAGTTACAGCGTAGCGTTGGTATCAGTAAGAAAAGGACAAATAAATGATGAATTAATTGGTTGATAAAAGGGTTTATATATAGTGCGCATTGATCTATTTTACTGCATTCCAGTTTTGGATTTTTTTAGCCAGATGATCTATTGGAATACAAAGTGTATATAGAGGACGGTGTTCCAACGGACACATTCTTTCTATATCATGATCAAAATACTTCTGGATTGGAGGTCTATCTTCTATGACTAAGTACAGGCAAGTATTTAATAATACTTCACTCTTTCAAAAGTGGAAAATTTTATTCTTGGAAGTATTTTACATAATGTGACACTAGAACTGCTAATTTTCTTTATTTCCACTTCATACTTGGATAATTGGACCATTAACTAAATGGAACAATATTGCCATAGCACAATTATCATCAAGAATTGTAAAACGCAAATTAATGCATAAAGCTAATTCCAAAAACGTCTCACAGAATATATTTCCGAGACATCAATCTGGCAATAAGAAGGAGGAATGCTATATTGTGTACAGAATTTATATGACAAATCCTGCAAGGACTGGTTTTACGATTGCGGGGATTAGCGCCTCTGTTAGCTCATGCTGATGAAGCACTCTTTGTTAGCTCACATTTGTAAAGGCTTTGTTTTAACGCACATTAATGAAGGGCTCTTGAAGTACACTGCTTACACTGCTAAATAATGAGCACATATACAATCAACCCTACGCAATGATAGTGATTTAGTCATACAGAAAGAAATTGAATGATTTACAAATCTTAGTCACGATCCAGCTGGGCACATACAAATTAGTACGTCACTGCACATTCCCTTTGTACTTCTTTTTTTTTATCATGGAACTTCTTCACGTTTATTCGCGATATTCCAGACAACGAAATAGTGTTTGTTGAATCGATTTGATTCGTCCTATTTTGTTGGTGGGTCATACAAATTATTTTGCAAATTGTTTCGGATGTGATCATTTTGGACAAATTGAAGTGAAAATTTAACATTTATTCGATTTGTCTTTTTCTAAGTCTTTTCTTAAGCATAATTTTTCCATGTGGGAGAGAACATGCATGACTTCCGTTGAACAGTTTGATTATTTTGTTCCTATTTTCCGCCTATTTACTAGTCCAGAAAAC